TTAATTAAGCGACTTTCTGAAATATATAACTGCTGCCTTTAGCGTATTACTTTGGTATAAACGTATTAGAGTGCTTTAGCGTGTATCAATGTACAATTATAGTTTGTATCGAGTATGTATATATTTTTTTTCCATTTCTTAAATCCATAAGAGTTGCAAACTTTGTGTCAAAAATTGAAACAGTTTGTAAAAGCTGCCTGTATTTTTTGTGCGGATTAAGAATGATTTCTACCCCCTTTAAGGTGTTGAGTTACCTTTGTAATACGGATGCTTAAATTATGAAATGAATATTTAAAAATATTGTTTTGTGTATAAGTTCCGTTTCATTCATTTCATTGAGTAACTTGCGTGAGGAGGAATGTTGAAAATATTTATGAAAAAAACTAAGTTTTGACACTGTAAAGGCTCATAAAATATCTGAATGAGAATAGTGTATTTACTGAAGGTTTTACTGAAAAATAATATCTTTTTAATAGTTTTGCTGGATAATCTGATTCAGAGTGTGTTTTATATATCCAAAGAAACAACGTTTTATTAATCATAACAATTCTCCAATAAATAGGGATTATTAACCGATTCCAACTGCATCACCAAGATGTCTTTGAATCACAATGAAATACAGATGATACCAGGTTGCATAACCCCAATTATCTGGCTTTTATAATTACCACACCACTATTTCATTATTAAATATCATCAATATACCGGCATATCATTTTATTAGGTATGATAAATGTTCTGTTAACATTGAATAACCATTGTAAAATATTATTAAAACACAAACTTCCGTGCCACTATACATGTGAATGTTATTAAACGAAACCTTCCAGCATGGTATGCAGATATATAGACGATGTAATATTTCATCCAAAGGACTACGACTAGCTTGTTCTATTAAGCAGAATGTATCTCCCCCATGCGAACACAGCTCTGCCAAACAAGGGTTGGCTTTATAACGTGGCGTGGGTGACATGTTGGACCCACTGGGTTGACATACCGATGTACACTACATAGTCGCCACGTCAAAACACCACTGCCCCAATATGGACGTTTATATCATCATTAAGCTATCAGTCTCCAAGTTATCTTCACGACTTTCACCAGTTTTCATCTGAAGAGTGGGACATTTTTTATCTTCAAAATCTTCGGTTTGCAGGTAATTTGTCTTTAACATACGTGGATATTTTTACGCATATTTTAATGTCTCTATCGTGAACGTTTTATGTCTGTATTCAAATAGGAACTGATTTTATTTTCTTTATCATTGAAGGTTTACCCCCGAAACACATAATATTACATATGTATTGGTATTGTCGTCGCTTGAAAATAGCTATACAGTTTCAACATGAAATTTATCCACTTTTGAATATTGTGCAGCTATAAAATAAACCGTTAAATGCATTATGTATTATTCCTTACTTTTTAGAGAAATGGAAATAATTATATTTTTAGAAAATGGTTCTTTTAGCGAAAGAAAGTTTAGACTTTGTTCAGTGAATTATTTTTTCACATAAACATTTGAAAGTAAGACGATTACACAGTGCCGAATTGTTCTGAAGCATTATTCCATTTATGACACGGCTTTAGCGTGCTAGGACAAATGTTCAAAGAATAGCAATTTGACAGTAGCATGAAATGACGCTTTGTTGATCAACAAAATAACTGTAATGCGTACAAATATCTTATTTCTATACTAGAAATTATATGATTGGGAATAAAATTGTATGTACATTGACGCCCTACGCAAGCTGCATCGGAATTTAGGCATTTAGACTGTGTAGATAAAGTATAAAGAAAGAATATAATTAAGTAATCGAAATCTACTTTTCCTGATGTAAATTTAGTGGGTTTTTTAATGAATTCTCAAAATATATCTCATAGCGGTATTAGTATAAGAGAACCGATGTTGTTTTGTTTTAAAAACGAATAATAATGATTTCGTCAGTAGAGGATCGTGACATTCAAACACGAATATCATGTCTCCAGAAACAAGAGACAGGCCATCTGAATAATAAATAAAGAGCGACATTTGATAATCTGCAGTCATGTAATACCGTGCAGTTGGTGATTGTCGCCATTATTCTATTAGCACATCTGATTTATTCATAGATGCTCCCAGTCAAAGCTATTCACGGTAATTTATGTTCAATTGTCCCCTTTAAATATTTACATCTGTAGAACAAATGGAATTTCAGGGTTATAGCTGCTGTTTAAGACTGTAGGAATATTGAAATGATTCCGGAATGTATATCACTGAAAGGAATAATGAAGTCATACCAGAAAATATATCATGGAAAATATACTCATTTTGCCCCACAATTCTGGTGTGTGTGTCGTGATGGGCAAATAAGCCGTATATCCTCATTACGGATGATATCCGGAAATAATTTAAATCTGAAGTAAAAAATAAATCGTATTATTCATTAGACTTGTCCCGAACGGTATTTTCAGCAGTTGGGAACATCTCAGGTTCACAGACCTGCCGTTTTTGCACATCATTGTGCGTTCCGTGTAGTAGATTTCAACGCCTGTAATTAAAGTTTTACACGCCGAACTTCTAAACTTACACAACGTTGTGACATTTCCAATTTTCTTGTCTGGGCGGGATTTGAGGATAAATCACAGTAGTCCACTCCGCGATATGTGAGTCGTTTGCGGTCATGATTGATTACTGCCATACTTCAAAGGTTTCTGATTAAACTTTAATGGCTACTGATATCCCAGAGAGCAGAATTGCATTAAATATAGATAGCACTGGCTTACATGCATCCCGTGCCGTACTTCGGCCTGTGTCGGTAACACTCTGTGGGGGGATAGCAATTGGATCTTTAGTAACAGACAGACAGATAGCTTATGGATAGATTTATTAAATAAAGTAGATTTCACTCAGTGTGCTCACCTCACCTGTATGAATTTCCTTGTTAATCCATAGGTTCGCTTTACTTGTTTTTTCCTTTCAATGAATGTGTTGATTTCGTTTTCTGCAGTGTTCATTGCAATCTGTTTCCTCTCAGCCATGCAGTGTGTTCGAATATGTTCATTTCGTATCGAATATATGAATGCGTGTTTGTTTAGCGTTAAATATGTGGATTTAAAAAATGATATGTCCATTCTTATATATGTATTGGGGTAGATTGATGAGTATTGTATCCTATGGTCATTAATGACAGATATTCACTGCCAAGGCTTATGCTGTGTTCCTTTCTGAGAAATGTCTGTTTCACATCCTAAGAGAGGTAGACAATGAAAGAATACAGTTTTACGTAGCTGTCAGAAAAGTTACAGTGTTAATACAAAAAGGACACCTGAAATGCACGTCAAAAACTGTACTCCTGAGGGAATCGAACACCGGCCTTCGGCGTGACAAGCGAACCGACCACTGGGCTACCTTAACTCCCAGTTTGTATCAGGGGTTCATATGTTTTTTATGTTTTAAATATATTGCTCTTTTATATATGTTCGTGTTTATATTATTATACATAAACCCACATCATGTTCATTATTGCCAGACCATGTTTGGCTTCTGTTTATGTCATACACATGTTCATTTCTGTGTTTTTGATTATATGCTAGTTTACGTTTCATATATTTCCATATACAGTTTGAAGTAAGGATATAGCATTTCATAAGCACAAAACAGATGACACAAGATGGGATATATGAAATGAAAACAACACGAGTATATTTACAAGCATCTCATGTGTTAATCAAACATAATAGTGTCTTTATACATGCCAGAATGCTAAAAGGTATACTTCACGGAAGAAGTGAGAACACACAATTTGTCCTCGAATGACTTTATTTAATCAATGATGGTATGACAGATTAACTTTACCCCGATGATAAAACTGTTTCTTTAGTTCTTTTGAGTAATATATATTATAGAAGTTTCAGGACATAAAGTACAATAGTGTAGATGGGTTCAAGATAAAAATACATACACATGCCGCATTATTTAAAAGCAATTTTTGCTAAATATATAAAATAAGATAAACTACAAAAAAAGTAGCTCCCGTACTGTTAACTTGGCAGTAAACAGAATGAAAAATACAACACGATAGATAAAGTAAATAACAAACATAATTTTGTTTTATGTGTTGAAATCAATCACCAAGGAAATGCATTATTACAACATTCCTGAGTACCTGGTATACCTATGTACCTAACGTATTTGGTGGTAGAGCTTGATCTCTTGCCTCATACAGGACTATTACAGGGATATAGTTTGAAGTGGCATAATATTTTACTGAGCCATTGATCTGGTGCTATTCTAAGTCTTTGTTATATTAAGATACAATGAAAGCTTGTAAGTCTTGACCTCCTGAATCCGGAAACCTGGGTTCCGCACGATCTGGATGGGAACATCAATATACAATAACATTTCAGCAATTACATTGCTTATTGTCCATAAATGGTTAAACCGGACACTTGCTAATCCGGATGGTTTTACTAGGAACGGTGCCGTCCGGTTTAATGAGTTTCTGGGGCTTTGGTCGTGTCTCACACCGAATAACATGCAGCATACGCTGTGTCTTTGACAAGTGTTTGAGATATTCCTCTGTTCACCCAGCTGTAGATGGGTACCGGTTAGGGTGGGTTTTAGGGCCTCACAGACAGCACGGGCTGTATACTCCCCGGGGAGCTGAGAACCTATGATAGTGGTTCCGCAGATTCACCCTGATTATATTATACCTGCATCATGCCCATGCTCGTGGATGTCACGAAAGATTTGGGGCTCTCCTTCTCCATCAAACACAATGAAATAGGGGCGGTGGGGTAACCTAGTGGTTAAAGCGTTCGCTCGTCACGCCGAAGACCCGGGCTCGATTCCCCACATGGGTACACCATATCTGGTGTCCACCGCCGTGATATTGCTGGAATATTGCTAAAAGCGGCGTAAAACTAAACTAACTCACTCATTCACAATGAAATAACTGACATAGTTTTCAAAGCAGCGTCAAGCACACTCACTTGTATCTATTTTGTACATTTCAGGTTTATAAGTCAGCTCCCCCTGCAGGTGTTGGGGGCTGGAGTACTGTGCGACAACATCCCCGGGCTGGTGGGGAAACAAAGACGTCTTTGTCGCAGCCACCCGGATGTAATGGTTAGCCTCAGAGAGGGAGCGCGGCTTGGCGTGGAGGAATGCCAGAACCAGTTCGAATCCCAGCGCTGGAACTGCAGCACCCTCGACCGGGATGCCTCGGTGTTTGGGAAAGTCATGTTGAAAGGTGAGAAGTCGAGTCAGTTATAGCAACAGGATGGGAGCAACTTGCTGAGTAACTACGGTCTGTAGAATATAGGGTCAAGTGGAGTTATTACCTATGCGGTTTTCTATCTCAAAACTAACCCATCTCTTAACAATCGTGTAGGCAGGGCAATAACCACGGGCGCGATACAATGACCCTGTATCACCTTCATGTATTACTCAAGAGAAGTAAAGAACACCGACAGGAATGTTCTTTAACTTCGTTTCAATGGCATTTGTCCGGACATATAGTTATCGATCCACTAAAGGCGCTACTGGTTGTGGTTTGAATCCTGGCTCTACTCTGGTTATGTTCCCAGGTTCGAGCGTTTGTGGACTCACCAAAGTGATAAAGGCAGAGATTTGTTACGCTTGGCCTTCCTCCGACGTATCGCTGATATGATTAGTGAGATATTGTATGAAATGACGTTAAATTGCAATCAATCCCACACTCATTCAAACACAAACGTGAAAACTAAGGGCTGTATTGCATTCGGATCACACCAATTAAAGGGAAAATACTAACTGAAAAAAGCGCCCTGACCACTCGTTCCTGAGCTTTCTTTAAGTCGTCGTTTATTGTATGAAATACGCCCCCAAAGATAAAGGGTTAACCAAAAAAACACCACACCACTAACTCGTCTTGCACGTGTAACACTCAGCTTCTCATGCTGTTTTCCAGAGGGCTACCTCTTTAATTGATTTCATAGACCTCTGATGACCCGTGTCACAGTTAAAATTGACCTGTCGCCAATCGTCACCCCGCCCAGCGATGACTGACAGGCCAAATTCCAGTATGTTGGGGGAAGCCATTAACTTGGAAGGGAAGTGTATTGTAACTTTAATCGTTCCGCTCCAGGGCCAATGATCAGATTGCAACTCTCAGTTCTACTTTTATAATGTCCTGACAGTCTTTATGATAGAACGAGCGTTTTGACAGCGGTAGTTTGGGAAACTATACGGTTACAATATGAAAACACTAAGATTAATGACTTGTCTCGCTTGCAGAATATGATATTGTTAAAGGTAATCTGATTAAAGATTAAGTGACTTTTCAAAATATTTGTATTAAATATTCAGGCTGTAACATTTGGGTAAGACATTGTCTGCGTATTTCATCTGTGTTCTGAATGCAAGTTTTTGACTTGATTCACGCATGTCATCTTATCCTAACTGCGATGTAAGTCGTTGTTCATGATGTCAATCACAAGGTTATCTGGTCCAGATTCGACTGTTTACATACTGCCTTCATATAGGAATGTTTCCGGAGTTAAAGACAAACAAAGATATAGAGTAAACTACGTTCATAAGGAACACGCCTATCACAAACTAATGGATATAACGAACTGTTTCCGGGTCCGGGCATGTAGTTTACATGTATTTTTAATTTGGACTAACTTTCACAAAACACTAATGTGATCGTAATTCACTAAGGTAACCTTAGTGCAATGTTAAAGAATGGGAGTTAAGGTTAACCTTAGTAAAGGATGCTTCTTGCAAGGAGCTCCAGGTTACATTTCACAGACTGGTAGAATGTTTTAAACCCATTTCTTGTGTCCCCGCATGATTTTGCTGGAACGTTACTAAAAGTTGCTTAGAACCATACTCACTCACTCACATGTATTATTTGTTATTATTTCTTTACTATTAACTATATTCTTTCATCAATTCATAGTTGTAACCAGCTTACACTTTTATCTGATGTATTGACACACACGTGTCAAGACATTCCCAAGGGTGTCTTCGTCTCGGGCCCCCTACAAAGGTATCTGGTACGCGAGGAAAGGTCACACACGTGATCGCAAGTAATTTGGAATGAACAAAAAACTTGTAATGATTCTTCACCGTTTGAAAAAACAACATCGAACTCGAAAGTAATTCTCGGCTCATAACAAGCTTGTTGAAATATCCCCGACCGTTTTTATGTCCCCTGAAAGATTAATCACCTGGTCCGCTTCCGTTTTTGTCCAATCCATATTTCACCAGGACCCCCAAGAAGATTTGTACAGGGCGGAGAATTCTCGTGGTAGTTACGGGTTATAACGGCTCTTGATGTATTCGCGCTAGTTCTGTCTCATCCATTAGTTTGGTCCTGGCGACTGCAGAGGAAATTAAAAAATTAAGTAAAAATTACAATTTCTAGATGTCTTGTGTGTGTCTGACATATTTGTTTTAATAACAAGCTTTATGTAATTATTAAACAATTCCAAAATTATATACGGTACTAAATTTTGAAGAAATTATTGCTGAGAATTCCAAATATACCCTATCCATGTTAAAATAGAGCTTGCCATGAACAGAAATTGTCATAAAGCGCGTTTTATTATGGATTCAAATACAATATATGACTGAAATCATGAAAGCACCCCAAACAGTAAAATCTTGTTAGCCCGTATCACTCCATAAACCAGACTCTCAAAAAATTTCAAAGTTCGCTTCTATGTTTCTTTGACACCCTTTACTCTGAAGATAGTTGTGTGGGGACCTCTTGTAAGCCTCGTTATGACGACGGTACTCGGTGGTTTATTACCCAGTGTATCTCGGGACACCTTTGCCTTGGTTCTGGTATGGAAACAAATCATCTGGATTAGTGACTGTAATTTGGAGAGTGTTTAACTGGTGTGGCTGGGCAATTGTCGTTAGCTTTAACATTATTTTTAGAAAGATATTTTGTTGTCTCACTCTCACTCACTCACTCACCTTGTAGATGGGCGTATGTCAGGAGTGTGGCGTGCTGGTGGTTCGATCCCATTCCAGGTTATACCAGAAAACGTCAAAAGATGGTACTTATTGTTTTCTGGCCTGGCGCTCAAAGTAAAGGGATAAACAAGCACTGGTCGTCTCAGAGTCATTATATTGTGTCTTGGTTAAAGTACGGCATGTTACCTCAGAGGGCTAGCACTATAAAGTCGGCATTATTCAGGGATAGCGCAAACCGACTCACGTAAGCACGCACGCACACACGCACGAATACACATATGTGCATATATGTCGCTATACAAATGTAATAATCCCATTTGAACCTCACCCACCCTCACTTCACCTCACCTCACCTCACTTTCTTTGCCCTACGGAATGTAACGCCCAGACGAATCAATAACCACCGGCAGACAAGACAATCAGATGCCACTGGCAGCCAAATGCAACAAGTGGAATATGTGTCTTTAAAAATGCATACAAATGGCGGCGCTCTTGGCTCCCGTTCAGAACTTGCCCGACATGCACTCAGTATTCATTCTAAATGTGTTTCCGGTTTGTCTGCCCACACTTACGTGTTGCGAGGATTGTAATAACGCGGGAATGATATAAAATCATTTCAGATTTTGTTTTTATCTCATATTTGTGGTTTAATAGGTACCTTTTTACCTTGGATCTTTCTTGTAAATGGAATGTGTATTGTAATCTGATATTAGTCAACAGTACTTAAGTAGTTAGTTTTGTTTTCTTTTATTTTTATGTCTTATTTTATTCAAAATGTTTAGTTCGTGACGGCTATTGCTTTTGAAACATTTTAAACTTCTTAACAAGGAAATTTAGCCGGAAACTTTGAAGGTGCCATTGCTTCTCCTCCCATGCGGCTCTTCTGAAATGGTAGACATCGACATTTGAAATTTTAAATACACGATATCCCATGATCAAAAGAAATGTATTTAAAATAGAAACCGGTTTAAGAACGTTTAACAAAGTGTGCCATACAAACAGTAACACCATTAATAAATAAAAAATAATTTACGACCAACCAGAAATTAAGCCAGTTTAGTGCCCGACCGCATCATGAATAGGCCACTTAAGTGTATAAAATAAATCTCCCTGGCTATGCAACGGCTCTCGCGAGATAACGCACCAGTCTTTAACACGATACCACGATTGTTGTACTATGTAAAGACAATGTTATGTCCCGTTTGGAGCCTAGCCCTAGATACACCATTGGAAGATGATACGCCATTGAGAGCGTAGAGATACCGGTGTCGGTGTTGGGCGATTTTATCGCAAATACTTTACATTACAGATTCTATCGTAAAAATGGTACCTGTCCGCATTGGGTATATAATACGTGTGGAATAAACTAAAAAAATCCCATCCCGTCTTCATCAACACAGACGGAAGTGGTATGATGATAACGGCGTTATTTCCGTTTCGTGTAATACAATAATCTTTATTATTCCCCGCCATTAATCCTATATAAAAGGTAATACAAGACTCATAGAGTAAACCCAGCGACATTTCGTCACGTGGGCGTGTGACGTCATCGGAACAAACCCTTATGTTTGCAATTACTGTTTCTCGTTTCCTAACGATATAAGATCAGTTGTGCGTGCTGGAACCGCCGCCAAATGCTCTGACGTCACGCTGGACGTGACACGGAAGAGCTGTAGAGTAATTTATCGTGACAAGATTCCCATAGTATTAACTCTAATAACACCTGGGCGATAAGGCTAAAGCGAACCAGATAGGAGATACACACTGTATTACAAGCAGTCAATGTTATCACAGATGTGTTGGCGGTTACGCCGTCGGGTTTAGGCCCGACAAAACAGAAGCTTAAAGACGCGCTAGGATCAGGCCTGTCGACACGCCTGGAAAGTTTGATTCAAGTGTTCAAGGCTATTTTGGACAACGAACAACATTTTAAGATTTACATCAATAGAGTGTATTTTATGACCCACTAATTATACCGATAATATCTCAGTTTGACACATGACATATGTCTAGATGGGGGCCCCGTTGTAGGAAACAATCTCAGCGCTAACGTTGTAAATCCATGTTATAGTAATGGAGTTTCCATGGTCCTCCCTGGATTGTAAAATTACACAGGTCGGTTCAGCAAAGTCCAGCGAGGTATAAAACTGAAATTTCATTAAATTTCAATATTATTATTTCGTGAGATTGTCTTCATGCTCGAACTCCTTTAGCTTTATAAATATATTTTAAGAATTATGATTTTTGAAATATTGAATTATTATAATCATTCAACATGTTTAGTTTCTTAACCCTGGTTTGGTTTGAATGAGCCTGAACCCCAGGTTCAAATCCGTCATTGCTTTGTCCATCCAGAATCGGTATAGCACAGTGGGTAATTCGTTCGCTAGTCAAGCTTGATATAAACATTGGTGCCACCTGTTCTACTCCTGTCGAGACCGCCTCCGTGGTGTAGTGGTTAGAGCGTCCGCCCGGAGAGCGGAAGGTCGTGGGTTCGATCCCCGACCGCGTCATATCAAATGACGTTAAAATATGGTACTTGTTGGTCCCTGCCTGGCGCTCGGCATTAATGGGTACAACAAGGATTGGTCGGCTCGGAGTCAGTATAATGTGTCTGAGTGGGGTATTCATGCTTCACTGCGGCATGGTATCTCAGTGGGCTAGCACTATAAAACCAGCTTAAGTCTGGGCTAGTACAAGCAGCCGCAAATACACATACACACGCATGCACGTCGTCATATGAGCGAAATATTCTCAAGTACGACGTTAAACCCAATTTCACCTCACCTCACCTCACCTCACCTACTCCTGTCGAAGTATTGCTGAAAGGTTACTGTACGGCATAGGACACCTAAATTTGCCTGTTTCGTTTAGTTTTTATGCCGCATGCAGCAATAATCCAGCTATGCGGTAGTTGACTGTACACGTGAACTAAACAATCCAGTGATTGACATCAGCATCGATCCACGCATTTGGTTTATGACGACATACATCAGATAAGTCAGAGAACCTGACTACCCTATTCCCTGAGTCGCCTTAAACGACAAGAGTTTGTTGTTGAATCCCCATTCTAACCCGAATCTTGACTGTAATGTACGTTTTGTTGGACGAAGGGTAGCACAGTGGTTAAAGCGTTCGCTCGTCATGCCTACGACCCGGTTTCAAATCCCTACATTGGTACAATGTGTGAAGTCACTTTCTGGTGTCTCCCGCCGTGATATTGATGGGAAAAGCGGCGTGAAACCATACTCACTACTGCGTTTTGAGTTTGAACCTTCTGGAGTTGAGGTTCATTGTATTTTTATGTTGAAATTGCAAAGATTCCAATGTGGTCAAAGATCAAGTAATAATTGCAGCTTTGTTTCGCTATGTTAAGTAGGAAGCCGCGAGGCAGCTTTCGTCTATGCCATATCATCAGCCGGCGTCGTCCACGCCATCACACGGGCGTGCAGCAATGGCGAGCTCCACGACTGCGCGTGTGATCCAAGCAAGAAGGGGACGAGTTCCGACAGCCGAGGCGAATTCGACTGGGGAGGATGTTCCGATTGGGTCCAATATGGAAGCAAGTTTTCTCGGATGTTCATTGACGCCAAAGAGAGAAAAGTTCGTGATGCACGTGCCCTCATGAATTTGCATAATAACAGGGCGGGCAGAAGGGTAAGAATTCCTATATACATAATTTATAAATTTCCCTTCCTGTTTGAATGTTGAAGTAACACGATATCCAAGTTTAGAGAGCGCCATAATTAAACCCAAAACCAAAGACTTATATACGTCCTGGCCCAAACTAACCAAATTTGCCTCGAAAACCTTGGCTGGGATTTCTTGTTAATGCGAAAAACATTTTGTCTCTTTCACCTCTCGGAACGTCATAGAAATGATAAGACAAACTTTATTTAGATTAATGTTCAACGTCATTGTTGAAAGGTACAGTCATTGTAAATTAGTTCACTGGTAATAAGAGGATGGTGCGGTAGCCTTGTGGTTAAAGCGTTCGCTCGTCATGCCAAAGACCCGGGTTCTATTCCCCACATGGGTACAATGTATGAAGCCCATTTCTGGTGTCCCCCGCCGTGATATTGCTGGAATATTGAATATAAAACTCCATACTTACTCTCTCATTGGTGACGTTTAATTTTACAGGCTGTGAAGCGATTCCGGAAGTTGGAGTGCAAATGTCATGGAGTTAGCGGGTCGTGTGCAATCCGCACGTGCTGGCTCGCGATGCAGGATTTTCGGCGCGTGGGGGATTATATCAAGACAAAGTATAATGGCGCCACCCAAGTGATGATGAACCAAGAAGGGACGGGATTAATAGTAGCCAACAAAAACCACAAGAGGCCCACAAGATCGGATTTAGTGTATTTTGAAATGTCTCCGGATTATTGTTTACGGGATTTGGAAATAGGTGAGTTCTATTTGTTATATTCTATTGTGGCAGTGATTTGGCCCACTGGGTAATGAGTTCACCATGACGCAAAAAAAAAATGAGTTCGATTCCCTGCGTGAGGTGCAGTGTGGGGTCAGATCCTTGTGACATAATTGCTAACCAAAGACAAACCTTTACCCTTACACTCAATGCTTTGACTGATATCACTTAATACTGATCAATGTCTATTCCATGATACTTGAGAATACCATAGGCGTATATTATATTACCGTATTTCCTCTGTTAGACACAAGTAAATCCACTAACACTGGGTCATATGCTCTGCCCTAAAAATAGAAGTTGGGCCTCCATATACGTGTGGGTTCCGATCCACAAAGCGTTCGTAACGTTGCGACCTGTCGTAACTCTATGGTTTATCATTGGCTTACGCATGTCGTAGCGCTACGAACTCGTTGTGGATCGCGACCCTGGTCCATAATTTGATAAAGGTCAGTATTCCTATCACATTAATTTACACAAAATAATGATTAAACCATTTCACTTCCGGTTGCTGTAGAAAGGACATGTATCATGTGTATGCCTTTAGCTGTAGCTGGGTGTCGGTAATATAGACTCTTGCCTCTAGGCATTAAACAAACTAGACGCTGTCTCACTGCTCACTTTGTTTTCCTTTAAGCCCAACCCTTTTGTAATGCTATGGCCCTAAATACTGCTAAATTCTGATTTTCTAGATGTTAAAGATCTGTTCTCAATCCTTTGTCACACGCGGGTTCCTCTTCAATTTAAATGAGGGTTTCTTTCAATCAAACTATTATAGTCTTAGCAACTAAGCATTAGGGCAGGTTTACGCCAGGTCATGGCTTCCGCTAAATTAATAGACGTGGGTGTCTAATACAGCAAATACGGTAGCTATGAGATATGTTGTAGACAGTACCCATTTAACTGAGATACAGACATGCATTTTAAAGGCAGCAACGACATAGTCAAATTCGCTGCATGACAAAAATAGATGTGTTTCTTTATGACGCTGCAGTTGTCATTAAAGTAGTATATATGCTGCCGGTATATTTGAAATTCATTCCATGGGTTTTATATGGGTACAATTCATTTATTGTTTCCGAGGACTTAGGATATATGTGAAACCCGACCTGTATTCTTTCAATTTGTTTTTCTCCTTTCAAATCTATCATACTACATTTATTTCTAAGACATACGTAAAAATACAAAATATTCACCTCAATGTACCCGTACGTCTTTGTCTGGAGGACTTGACACGATGTAACCGGCTCATTGTCTATTCCAAACCTGAATGGGATATGTCTACTTATGCCTGTAGTTTCTGCGTATGTATGAAAATACCTATTGAAATATGAGCTCATCGTATGTTATCCTCATTCCTGCTGAGCTTGTTGAGAAACAGGATGAATCTGCGTGTACTTCGTCACGCGGGGCTTAAATTTTCAGGGTAAAGACACTGGCTATTTTTCCTAGGTGAAAGATAAGTATCGGCATTGTTTGTATGTACTGATTAACCACGACTTACACTACCCTTGTCAACAATTGGCCCAAGATCCGATAGTCTCCACCGTCATATCACAAAGAAGGGAATTTTTTACACATGCTTTTACGGTTTTGAATGACATTTTCCAAACTATACATCGGTTGCCTGGAAAAAAGTGACACTAATTAAATTCTACAGTTTGCAGTTTAAAATTTAATGTTTAATTCATGACTATGCGGGTCGAACACTGTAGAATTACCTCCCCTGTTTTGGGGGCCGACATCCATTGAGGACAATCTGCCCTTTGTCACCTGCTAGCCTACTAGGTACGAGAACCGGCTTCCCAGTGTAAACATGTGTGTTATGATTAACAAAATCTAATTTTCCGAATAATAGGTTTTGTTGTATGTGGAAGGGATCGCCTAGAGCGCGGTACAGCTTATATTGGCAAGGACGCTTGTCGTCTGAACCGTAGTAAAGTCCTTTATAAACTGTGTTTTGGGAACTGTCAAATATGTCGGATTCTATTGGAGATTATTCTCATACTGTGATGGGGGTTATGGTGCTTAGAATACACCTTGCTGGGCGTCTTTAACCCTTTATATCTCAACGAAACGTTTTTAGACCCATTTATAGACAATTTTCTGCTATGTTTGTTTCATTATTAAATTACTTTTTTGAAATTGTGAAAATGAAAAAAAAAATGAAGATACATTTAGGGCTTAATTACATATTAGAAATATTCAGAAAATATATGCCCCGGTTAAACTGAAGGGGTTAGTGAGTTCGGCATTGTGTAAGTGACAGTAATGTTTTAGTGTCACAGTCGGTGTGACAACCAGTGCACAGGAACAGACCGTTTAATCCACACATGCGCTGTAGTTATTTGGTTTGTCTCTGAATTTAACAAACCTCCATCTCGAACATTTTTTAACACACAATAAGCATATTAGTTATACATATTATTAAACCATAAGGGTAAAATTCATGATTTTAAATTTTAAAATCGCGAAATTAACTATTAGGTTTCGTCATTAAGATATATATACATGCCAAAATCGGAGTAATTTCAGATTCTCTATCGTTGACGTGGTCTATTAACTGGAACATTTCATACTTATTGCAATTAAAATAGGGAAAGTAACAACTGAAGTTCATGACATTTGGAAATTTAGACATGGAAAAACGCTCGGCAATTAGTGATGAGAGATTGGTTATTCGGTGGCGCTGACGATATATTTTACTCGATTTGCAATGAAAAAACACTCCCGTCAGTAGAACTGTCTTGTTTGAAACTGGTCAGAGTGTGTTTTTTACCCTGTAAATGGTATTTTAGATGTATCTACGGGATATTATGTAATCGTATGTGTCTTACTTGCAAACTGTACAGACTTTCTCCATTTACAATGCTAGTATAACACGAATATCATTCTTCAGTCGGAGTAATGATTCACGAAAATAGATATTCTGATGCATAAACAGAAACCTGCATTCATTCACTTATACGTAAACAGGTATTTGTGGGGGTGACTGTACTGGTTCGTTTTCATAGTGCTAGAATACTGAGGTACCATGCCACACGGACACCCATCTCAGACACAGTGCACTGCCTCCAAGGTTAACACGGACAAACCACTCAGACACAGTATATTGCCCCCAAGGTTAACACGGACACCCCACTCAGATACAGTACACTGCCCCCAAGGTTAACATGGACACCCCATTCAGACACAGTATACTTTTCTGTTGTACCCCGCCGTGATACTGCTGAAATAGTGCTAAAAGCGGCGTAAAACTTAACTCACTCACTTTCAGTATTGAAATATCGATTCATTGCATATTGAATAATTTTCACTCGCACCTCTCTGACTCGAACTCGACCGAGGTAATGTTATTAAAGCAGTATTTGTCGGCATTCCTTACAAACTTGCCGCGTCGATCCCTTTGTGTCGAACTCCGGTTTATTCGCTTTGGTTGGCTCGTCAACAGTTCTTCGAGGTTTAACTCTAATTTGATTCGCTTGTACCGTTCTGAATTAATTACCCGTGCTCTTGGGTTTACAAGTGGTTAACATCTAAGAACTGCTTCACTTCGGAGCTACCACACATTCACCTGGAAAGATATTCAGAAGGAAAGCCCCTGCATATATGATCATGTAATATGGAATAATGTGATCTATTTATAAGCAACTGATGTAGGTATAACCGTATTTATAAACCTATCCCGTGTGAATGAAGACAGGCTATAGTATAAGCTCTCCATACACTGAGACAGCACCAAACGGTGAGGACTATTATAACAAGTCGAGCGGCAGGACATTTAAACATCGTAGTGGATAGAAGGCTAGTGATATGACGTTGTGAACGTGGAATTGTACTGACGCCGAAGAGCATTGCGAGGTCGGGGGATTTCTTCCTGAGGCGCTACCTTCACGTAGCGATAAAGATAGCTGAAATACAACAAAAAGCTTCAGACCTTCCTCTAATATTTCATTTTTAAGCACTGTTAAGAAACGACTTTTAAACTAAAAGTTCGTGTTTGTACTGGATACTATTATTGACGTTCCAAAAGGTTACACAATGAAAATATTTCAAGTTAGCATTTGTCTACTGATTAAAACCTTCAATACTGTACTTTTATTGTCTAGAAGCCATATATCAGATGTGAGATGAACGTTTAGGATTGTCATACGAATTGTACTCTCTGGGGTGGGTGAGTTAGTTTAGTTTTACGCCGCACTCAGCAATATTCCAGCTATATGGCGGCGGTCTATAAATAATCGATTCTGGACCAGAAAATCCAGCGATCAACAGCATGAACATCGATCTACGCAATTGGGAACCGATGACTTATCAACCAAGTCAGCGAGCCGGACCACCCGATCCCGTTAGTCACCTCTTACGACAAGCATGGGTTACTGAAGATCAATATTCTAACCCGGATCTTCACGGTGTACTCTCTGAGGTATATCTGCGTTAAAATCAACATCTCCATCGAATGAGCCTACTTCATAGGAAAGGTCGTCTAGCTGTGCTTTGTGTTCTAATGTTTATTCCTGGCAGTGCTACCTGTAGCGGAGGAGTTTACTCCATAATCAGTAACCGGACACTTCATTCGCGGTGATCTTACCTGCAGCCCGGGGGTTGACAGTGTGAGCGATGAAACATCTAATCAAGACAGATGTGTTAGCTTATATGAAAATTGTTACAATAAGTTCTTATTTACAATAAGTCCTTACATCCCTTGACCCGACTAACCCTACAAACATATAAAATAATATAACTGAACTTAACAGACAAGAAACGAATAATTCGGTTATGCCCCAGGTTTCTGTTTATACACGCCATGTTTTTTGCAAACATGGTGCCGATGGTGTTGCCGGTAGAGCAGGACACTTGGCGAACACCCGGTGCCACCACTGATATACAGGTGTCCATACAGATAATTTTCATCTGTATTTTCATGCCCAATAGAATTCGTTACAATAGATCACTGACGCTGATTATTCTCTGTCATT